TAAATGAGTGAATGTTAGTGGATGAGTTAGTTACTGAGTAAATAAGTGAATGTTAGTGGATGAGTTAGTTACTGAGTAAATAAGTGAATGTTAGTGGATGAGTTAGTTACTGAGTAAATGAGTGAATGTTAGTGAATGAGTTAGTTACTGAGTAAATAAGTGAATGTTAGTGGATGAGTTAGTTACTGAGTAAATAAGTGAATGTTAGTGGATGAGTTAGTTATTGAGTAAATAGATGAATGTTAGTGGATGAGTTAGTTACTGAGTAAATAAGTGAATGTTAGTGGATGAGTTAGTTACTGAGTAAATAAGTGAATGTTAGTGGATGAGTTAGTTACTGAGTAAATAAGTGAATGTTAGTGGATGAGTTAGTTACTGAGTAAATAAGTGAATGTTAGTGGATGAGTTAGTTACTGAGTAAATAAGTGAATGTTAGTGGATGAGTTAGTTACTGAGTAAATAAGTGAATGTTAGTGGATGAGTTAGTTATTGAGTAAATAGATGAATGTTAGTGGATGAGTTAGTTACTGAGTAAATGAGTGAATGTTAGTGAATGAGTTATTATTGAGTGGATGAGTAAGTTAGTTAGTGAATGAGTGAATTAGTAAAAATTGTTCTTGAGGTTGCCAAAAAATGGTGTGGTGGTGGTGGGGGGGGGGAGAATATGACACACAAACACACACACACACACACACAAACACAGAGTAAAATCAGGGTCTCAACCCTACGGCGCGATGATGGAAGCAAGAATGAAGAGAGGCAGAGAGAGAGACAGAGAGAGAGACAGAGAGAGAGACAGATAGAGAGAGAGTGACAGAGAGACAGAGACAGACAGAGACAGAGAGAGAGACAGAGACAGAGAGAGACAGAGAGACAGAGAGGGAGAGAGGGAGACAGAGAGAGAGACAGACAGAGGCAGAGAGAGACAGAGACAGCGAGGGAAGAAATGATTTAAACTTAAGCAGGGTTAAACTAGTTTAAAAACATATGACAAAATCAGACGATTGAAAATGAGAGAGCCAAATGACTGGGGGTGGTGAGAGGGAAGAGGGCGGGGGAAAGGGGGGGGGGCATTCAAAGGACAAATAAATGAAACATATGATCAGATAAAACCAAAGAAGTGTCAAAAATCGTGTACGCCCCTTTTAGGGAACTGAAACACAAACACTTAGCAAGCCTAGGAAAGAACAGACAACAATCAATGAAGATGAAACATTGTAAAACAAAAATGAAATGATGCATACACACACGCGCGCACGTGGCCTACACACCGACACATACTCAGGGTTTGAATCCAACTGGAAACCACATTTGTGTGATTTCCAGATCCGGCAGGGGATTTCAAGAGTTTGTGCCGAGAAAAGAGGAAAAAATGTGAAACAGCAAAAATGGCACAACAAAACAGGGATGAAAACTTGAAAAACACAAAGGCAATGAAAAAAAACATTATCTGATGGAAGAGATTGCAAAAGTCGTGAGCTGTGGTAGGGGTTCGTACCTGATAGATCGTGGAATTATGTAACACGTACCCAATGTTGTTTCTTTTTTGTACGCAAAAATATCTGGTACATACTGATGACGTCATATGAGCATCAGACAATACCGCAGATGACAGAATTAGCAAATCTGGGTCCTTATATTTATTCTTCTTTTGACGTTGCCAGACAACAGTGGGAGCTGAGGCAGAGGTGGAGTGGATAACAATGAAAAGAAGAAGATATAAAAGAAGGGGAATAGAAAAGTAGGTGTAATAGAAGAATGGGGAATAGGAGTAGGTGTAGGATTAGAAGAGAGGAAGAAGGAGGAAGAAGAAAAAGAAAAGAAAAAAGAAAGAAGGAGCTGAAGAAGACGAAGAAGAAGAGAAGAAGAAGATGAAGAAGAAGAAGAAGAAGAAGAAGAAGAAGAAGAAGAAGAAGAAGAAGAAGAAGAAGAAGAAGAAGAAGAAGAAGAAGAAGAAGAAGAAGAAGAAGAAGAAGAAGAAGAAGAAGAAGAAGAAGAAGAAGAAGAAGAAGAAAAAGAAGAAGAAGAAGATTAAACAGAAAAAGAAGAGCAGCAGCAACAATAAAAATGACAGCAGTAGTGCCAACAACACTCCAGCAACAACAACAACACCTACAACAACTGCCGTGGTTTCAACAACACACTAGCAACAACCAGATCTACACTGAACTATTCTGAGTCTATTCTTTAACTCTGTTAGCCACCAGTTTGTCTGCCTTATTGTCTGTCTATCAGCATATCCACAAGTTTATCTGCCTTCACATCTGTCTGTCTATCAAGCGATCTATTTTTCTGTACGAGCTGTTTTTCCACACATCTTAATTACATTGGCACATACGCGTCCGCTGGTAATATTCAAAAAGGGAAGCCCAAATTTGACAATTACTCAATATTCTGTCCCGTTTCTGGCATCATGAACTGAAAAACCTGGCATGCTCTGATTGATCGTTGACAATGTGCTCGCTTTTACAGGGAAAAAAAAAACACATAGACACTCATGCGCGCGCGCTCTCACACATGGAAACATACTATAGGTGTAGATATCGTGCTGTGGATTCGCGGTTATTCGGGTTTCTTCTTCTTCTTCTTTTTCTTCATCTTCTTCTCCATCTTCTTCTTCTTCTTTTTCTTCTTCTTCTTCTTCTTCTTCTTCTTCTTCTTCTTCTTCTTCTTCTTCTTCTTCTTCTTCTTCTTCTTCTTCTTCTTCTTCTCCTTCTTTCTTATTCTTCTTCTTCGCGCAAAGCTCTATGAAAAGTTCTGGTTGTTGGTTAACTTCTGGACACTGGCACTGTTCCAAAAGCTGATCTAACTTTTTTGCATGGGGGATGTTTGTTCCCCATCTCCCAGATGCAATCCGATGTAGAAAGAAACATCGCCGACAAGTCGACTTTTCTGACATATGCTTGTTGGGGGGGGGGGGGGGGGAGTGGGTCTGTACCCTCGCCCCTTTTTTTCTCTCCCTGTAAGGCCACAGGAGCAACACGGGAGTTTTTCGGTTTTAATTCCAAGTAACCAAACGGTTACAACGTCGAGACCAGCAATCTTATCCCGCAGTGAGAGACCAGCAATCTTATCCCGCAGTGAGAGACCAGCAATCTTATCCCGCAGTGAGAGACCAGCAATCTTATCCCGCAGTGAGAGACCAGCAACCTTATCCCGCAGTGAGAGACCAGCAATCTTATCCCGCAGTGAGAGACCAGCAATCTTATCCCGCAGTGAGAGACCAGCAATCTTATCCCGCAGTGAGAGACCAGAAACCTTATCCCGCAGTGAGAGACCAGAAACCTTATCCCGCAGTGAGAGACCAGCAATCTTATCCCGCAGTGAGAGACCAGAAACCTTATCCCGCAGTGAGAGACCAGCAATCTTATCCCGCAGTGAGAGACCAGAAACCTTATCCCGCAGTGAGAGACCAGCAATCTTATCCCCCATTGAGAGACCAGCAATCTTATCCCCCATTGAGAGACCAGCAATCTTATCCCGCAGTGAGAGACCAGCAACCTTATCCCGCAGTGAGAGACCAGCAATCTTATCCCGCAGTGAGAGACCAGCAATCTTATCCCGCAGTGAGAGACCAGCAATCTTATCCCACAGTGAGAGACCAGCAATCTTATCCCACAGTGAGAGACCAGCAACCTTATCCCACAGTGAGAGACCAGCAATCTTATCCCGCAGTGAGAGACCAGCAATCTTATCCCGCAGTGAGAGACCAGCAACCTTATCCCGCAGTGAGAGACCAGCAACCTTATCCCGCAGTGAGAGACCAGCAACCTTATCCCGCAGTGAGAGACCAGCAATCTTATCCCGCAGTGAGAGACCAGCAATCTTATCCCCCATTGTGAGACCAGCAACCTTATCCCGCAGTGAGAGACCAGCAATCTTATCCCCCATTGAGAGACCAGCAACCTTATCCCGCAGTGAGAGACCAGCAATCTTATCCCGCAGTGAGAGACCAGCAATCTTATCCCCGCAGTGAGAGACCAGCAAATCTTATCCCGCAGTGAGAGACCAGCAATCTTATCCCGCAGTGAGAGACCAGCAATCTTATCCCGCAGTGAGAGACCAGCAATCTTATCCCGCAGTGAGAGACCAGCAATCTTATCCCGCAGTGAGAGACCAGCAATCTTATCCCGCAGTGAGAGACCAGCAATCTTATCCCGCAGTGAGAGACCAGCAATCTTATCCCGCAGTGAGAGACCAGCAATCTTATCCCGCAGTGAGAAACCAGCAATCTTATCCCCCATTGTGAGACCAGCAACCTTATCCCGCAGTGAGAGACCAGCAATCTTATCCCCCATTGAGAGACCAGCAACCTTATCCCGCAGTGAGAGACCAGCAATCTTATCCCGCAGTGAGAGACCAGCAATCTTATCCCGCAGTGAGAGACCAGCAATCTTATCCCGCAGTGAGAGACCAGCAATCTTATCCCGCAGTGAGAGACCAGCAATCTTATCCCGCAGTGAGAGAGACCAGCAATCTTATCCCGCAGTGAGAGACCAGCAATCTTATCCCGCAGTGAGAGACCAGCAATCTTATCCCGCAGTGAGAGACCAGCAATCTTATCCCGCAGTGAGAGACCAGCAATCTTATCCCGCAGTGAGAGACCAGCAATCTTATCCCGCAGTGAGAGACCAGCAATCTTATCCCGCCCACAAAAACCTGTTATTCTGTCCCTATCATGGCTACAACTTCTGACAAAAACCTGTTATCCTGCCCCTATCATGGCTACAACTTCTGCTGTCGCTCCAAACATGGCGGTTGTTCTGTTGTGTACTAGCCTGACCTCTGGCAGTCTATAAATAGTTGAGGAAGGTCAAGCAGCTAAGCTGCGATATCTGAAGCATTTTGTGTGTGACCAAAACATTCGATGTGAGGAAATGCCCTTGTTTGACAGTGGGATCCCCCCCCCCCCCCCCCCCCGCTCCCACATTTACATCCACAACTAAAATGAAGACGCGGGAACCAAAGCGTTGAGTCACCACAATGAGATGTTTGAACACATCCAACCAGTGAACTCTGATGATCAGTTTGATAGACCGCAGAACGATGTTGTGAATATCCGAATGATTCTTGGCAGGGCTGGTTTAGATCCCCCTCTGAGTGAGCCCTGTGTCCCCAATGGCTTTTCCGAACTGACTGATGCACCCGTATGCACCCGTATGCACTTCAAAGCGCACTCAAAGGTTGTTAGCGCGTGGGAGGTATGTAATTAGATTTCAAACGGCAGCCGGGTACGTGCATGAGTGACGTCATTGTACAACTCAAATGAGGAATTCCCTAAGCCGTATCTTTGCAAAGATGATGTCTGCTAGTTCCTGTTGTCCAAGTTGCCACACGAGGATGGCCCAGGAACTGTTATAAAAAGCGTTTTAAAACAGGGAGTAACAGTTATAAAAGTGTTATAAAAGCGGAAGTAATAACACACATTGTGACTCCACAGAATTCACTCACAACCGAGAAGAATTACATTTAACAACGCACATTATCATCTCAATAATGATAGTAATGACGTCGACGTCAACGGTAACTGCAAGGATAATGATGGTGGTGGTTGTGGTGGTGACGACGATAATGATCATGATGATGATGCTGTCGATGATGGTGACGACGACGATGATGGTGACGATGATGGTGACGATGATCATGATGTCGATTATGATGGTAACGATGATGCTGATGATGTCGATGATGGTGACGATGATGCTGATGATGTCGATGATGGTGACGACATCGATGATGATGATGGTGACGATGATGTTGATGATGTCGATGATGGTGACGACATCGATGATGATGATGGTGACGATGATGTTGATGACGTCGATGATGGTGACGATGATGCTGATGTTGTCGATGATGGTGACGATGATGGTGACGATGATGTTGATGATGGTGACGATGATGTTGATGATATCGATGATGGTGACGATGATGCTGATGATGTCGATGATGGTGACGATGATGCTGATTATGTCGATGATGGTGACGACATCGATGATGATGATGGTGACGATGATGCTGATTATGTCGATGATGGTGACGACATCGATGATGATGATGGTGACGATGATGATGATAATTAAGATAAACCAGAACAACATTAAAAGCAAAAAGCGAAGAAACAAAAAACAAAACAAAAAACCGACGGCTTGACTTGAGTCTCGGAGTCAATACTGCTAGGAAATATCCCCATCAGATGAAATCTCTAACTCAAAAGGCCGTTGCACTACCCGCCTTGCCAACCACTAAACAAGCAAAACTCAAACTACTTTAGCATAAAATTGCTTGATTGAATTAAAAGCTGGCGGGGTGGTAGGGCGCAAAAGAGGGAGGGGAGGGGGAAAGGGTAATGAAAAGTATTCCCCCCATATAATGTACTGCCGGAGAGGCGGCGGTGGATTCCGGGGATTAAAGTGCGTTTCTATAGCAAGTCTTTAATCAAGTTAATCTTTAGTATCGATTCTGTCCGCTCTTGAGAACAACATAGAGCCAGCAACCACAAGCACGGTCTGACTACACTCACAGATATTCGTCCATTCAACTCATCCCTCACTGGAGCAGACGTTGATGTTTCACACAAACATCACTTTGTACCGCTGTTGATCTGTGACAGTATGAATTCACCACTAGAAACAAATATAACCCAAAGTTAAATGCATTTGGTACACAAACGCCAGAGACTAATGATGATTATAGAATGTGATCAATTCATGAACGCGTTAAGAAATAAGAAATAAATGTCTCATCAATGACAAGTAACAACAGAGACGATAGCGCTATAGTGAACATATACATAAAAGGCACGATCAAAGAATTGCTAAACATGAACTGAACTAGCAATTAAAGGGACTGAGAAGGCGAGGATGGCCAAAAGAAACCCTGGAGCGGACGTTGATGAGTGAGGCCAAAGCTGCTGGACTGAATTCCATCGTTGATATAATATTGATTGCACAGGACAGAAGGGAAGGGAGGAATCGAATGCGAGCCCTGTGTGACATAGAATGGCACAACAAGAGAAGGTTTGTATAGATTCAAGAGCTATAGTCAGCACTTGTAGAGGTTAAAAAAAGGTTAGTTGTGTATCCTTTACAGGACGTCGCAGAACCGACCCCAACAGCCCATGTCTGTTGTGTGGTTTCTCTAGACAAATTTACGTCTAGTAGTTTGCCATTGCTTACTGTTCGTTCGGCTTTCTTGATACCAGTATCGAAACTAACGCACGGCGCGTGGCCTGCAGTTGGGATCGATCCCGGCATTACGAAGCGTTTGCATTGACTTAGCCACAGAGCCGACCTTCTAGGGGTACAGGTGTGAAATATAGATTGGAGAACGCTCGTGGCAGTGTTATCTTTGAATGCTGTAGAGATTGCTGGTAGAGGAACCGGCAGTTGCATAATAACTATTGGGTTCCGCTGCAGAAACGAGTGTTCTCCGAAGCTCTGCCAACTAGAAACCTTTCACAGACTTTATTCGATAAGGAGGTATGTCATTTTTCAACACACAACACACCAAGTATGTACAGGATAAGTAAATGTCTCTGAGTATACAGGTGATTCTAGGTGGTGTAGCGGCTGGATGCCAACCTGCGGGTCCGAAGGTCGAGGGTTGAGGTCCTGATAAAGCCGCATTTCTTTCAGAAGCACCAATCAAGGAGGTTAACCACACAGAAGGACCCATCAAGGAGGTTAACCACACAGGAGGACCAATCAAGGAGGTCAACCACACAGAAGGACCCATCAAGGAGGTTAACCACACAGAAGGACTTATCAAGGAGGTTAACCACACAGAATGACCCATCAAGGAGGTCCACCACACAGAATGACCCATCAAGGAGGTTTACCACACACAATTACCCATCAAGGAGGTCAACCACGCTGAATGACTCATATAGGTAAACTATTATCATAATCTCATTTGCATAATTGTAACTCAGTTCATATGCATTTCCCTCTCAGATCATCAATCTCCAGCAGTAGCTTCCCGTGATTTAGAGGAACACAATATTTTATTGTATATAGGATAGGCTATAAAAAAAATCACCACGCATTGCTGCATATGTGAAAAGCTTTCTATAACAGTCTCCAGCCTGTGGTTCAAACTATTGGTATCCTTCACTGCATGTGCAATTTTTTTTTTTTTTAAAGGGCACGCAATTTTTTAGTCCGACCAATATCAAATAAATTCGCTGTTTTCATAAATCACTGTAACTGTGCAGTTATAAATTATAAAATCACAAGCAGATGGGACATGAAAGACAACATGCAAACATTGATGCTGACTCATGCGGCAGTTAGCCAGATATTTATTAAAGTTTAACGGTGCGACTTTGGGAACAGACTATATAAACTATTAGGACTGGCCCTATATGCCTAGTACACATTAAGGCGTAGAAAAGGGTCCTTTAATTTACCTTTATATGAACTGTACCCGATGTAATCGACCCCCCCCCTCCCCTACACCGCCACCCTCTTCCCCTCACCACTGTATGGTCCTAATGTCAAACATAAACAGCCAGTACTCAGCCTCAGGCAATCAAATCTCTGAGATGTGACCCACATCCAGTAGCCACTCACCCTGGCACCGCCACCACACCAGACCACCAGGCAACAACTGACCAGAGTCCAGTTAATTATCAGAGCTCACGCAAACGTGACCAGTATAATAGATGACCGCTCACGTCTGGGTCGTTATCTACGGTGGCGGCCATTTGCCTGTTTGATCCAAGTGCTCACCCGATCTGCTGTTATGGGCGTCTCGATGTGTGGTAATCGTGCTTCTGACCAGCGGTCAGTTTGTTTACATTTCCTTTCAGTTGTTAATTAGATATTCGTCAAAAGGGTTTCTTTGTTGCATTATTATCATTACCATCGACACTGTTATCATTTTCTTCTTCTTCTTCTTCTTCTTCTTCTTCTTCTTCTTCTTCTTCTTCTTCTTCTTCTTCTTCTTCTTCTTCCTTCTTCTTCTTCTTCTTTTTCTTCTTTTTCTTTTCTTCTTCTTCTTCTTCTTCTTCTTCTTCTTCTTCTTCTTCTTCTTCTTATTCTTCTTCTTCTTCTTCTACTTCTTCCCTTCTTCTTCTTCTTCTTTTTTTTTTTCTTCTTCTTCTTATTCTTCTTCTGCTTCTTCTTCTTCTTCTTCTTCCACCTTCTCCTCCTCGTCCTCGTCACTCTCCTCCTTTTCCTCCTCCTCCTTTTCATTCTTTCCTTTCCACTGAAGAAAAAAGTGGGAAATAGAGTATATAATTCTCCTTAAAAAACGGGCTATTAGGTTGGAAGCAATCAGATATAAAACAGGAGACGCCTGTGCAATAGACAAGGCTTGTTGGCTATATGGTGCTTAACTCGTATTTAAATTGATAGACCTTGATGGCTGATTTATTGACTATCAAACCACGCTCTTTACTTATATTTCTAATAATCATTTTAGGTGGATTCATGTATTAGTAGTAATATTAGAAGCGGTGGTAGTGGTGGTGGTGGTGGTAGTAGTAATGGTGGTATGGTGGTGGTAGTAGTAGTGATAGTAGTAGTAGTGGTGGTGGTTGTGGTGGTGGTAGTTGTAGTGATAATAGTAGTAGTGGTGGTTGTGGTGGTTGTGGTGGTGGTAGTAGTAGTAGTAGTAGTAGTAGTAGCAGCAGCAGCAGCAGCAGCAGTAGTAGTAGTAACAGCAGCAGCAGCAGCAATAGTAGTAGTAGTAGTAGTAGTAGTAGTAGTAGTAGTAGTAGTAGTAGTAGTAGTAGTAGTACCAGCAGCAGCAGTAGTATTAGTACTACTACTAGTAGTAGTAGTAGTAGTAGTAGTAGTAGTAGTAGTAGTAGTAGTAGTAGTAGTAGTAGTAGTAGTAGTAGTAGTAGTAGTAGTAGTAGTAGTAGTAGTATCAGCAGCATCAGTAGTAGTAGTAACAGAAGAAGAGCTACAGAAGAAGAGCTGCAGCAGGAGAAGTAATAGTAGATAATGGTGTGGTGGTGGTTGTTGTTGTTGTTGTTGTTGTTGAAGTGGAAGTAGCTGCAACAGCAGTACAAACCATTACACAACATCTAGACGCATGCGGTACTTACCAGATCTGTTTTGGTGAATCCGCCTTTAAAACTGGTCAGGGGCTGTGTGGAACGGTTGCTGGTGTTATGGGAGTCAGTCTCTTCATCCAGGGAGAAACTCGGCTCTTTTCGACCTCTCATGTTCAAGTTGTTGGACACAGCCTCGTCCGCCATGCTGACGGATAGGTTTGTGAAGATATCTTGTTGTTTCAGCTGGTACATCTTCTCCTCCGCGTTCTTCTGGCAAGTTCTGTTTTTCCTTCGCTGGTTGTCGATCCGCCGTATGAGGACGATGGTGATAAGGATGACCAGCGTCATGACGGCTGTGACTCCAACCAGAATGATCACAATGAGAATGTTTTGGCTAATGCTGCTTTCGCTAACTAAAGGTATTGTGCCGTTGATTTTAATGCTGAGAGCTTTTGTATCAACCCTTGGCGGGTCGCCACCATCTTGCACTAGGATGATCAAGTTGTAGGTTTTGACATCTCTTGCCGTGATGATCCTGGCCAAGGAGAGACTTCCGGTGAAGCGGTTAAGGTTGAAGAGTTGGTACGGATCGCCATCTTGGATGAGAAAGACGAGGTCTGAATGCTGTGATGTTTTTTCATCTTCGTCGTAGGCGAAGATGTTTGTGATGATGTACCCAACTTGGGTTGATGACTGTACGATGATAGTGGAGTTGTCATCCACCGACATGTGGATAACTGGAGAATGGTCATTGTCATCCAGTATACGGACTGTAAAATTGCAGGTGCTGAAGAACTGTGGATATGTTGGATCTACAACTTTTATCATAAACAAATACTGGTCTTTTTCTTCTCTGTCGAATGTTGTTGTACTTTTGATAACCCCTGTTGTTGGATCGATGGTGAAGTTGGAATAGTCCATCCCTAACTGTAGAATAGAATACACCATTTTAGAGTTTGCAGGGGTATCAGGATCCTTGGCAGTAGCGTTCCCTACAAATGTGCCAGATGGCTGGTTTTCTAAAATGTCCCCGAAATAAATCGGATTGGGAAAACGTGGCGGCTCGTCATTTTCATCGTCTACAGTGACCACAACCAGTGCTGATGATGACAGTCGCTCGGGTCCGTTGTCTCGAGCTACCACATGGAAGTCGTATTTAGAGATGTGCTCTCTGTCCAGTGATTGCGTTATTCTCAATTTTCCCGTCGTTGGATTGATGGTAAATACGCCACTATACTTGTCCTCGATGGAAAAGGAAACCTTTCCGAAGTCACCACTGTCCCAGTCGTGGGCCTCGATCTGAAGAATGTCCTCCTCACTGTCGCGATTCTCCATAACTGTGACGTAATAAATGGGCTCTGTAAACACCGGACGGTTGTCGTTAACGTCCAGCACGTTGACCACAAAAGTGGTGGAGTTGGACAAGGGTGGGCTTCCTTTGTCCACGCAGGTTATAGACACTCGAAGAGACGAGGCCCGCTCGTAATCCAAGGTGTTGGCCAAGACTATCTTGTACATGTTGGATGAGTTGTCGTTGAATTTCTCTAGCGAGAAATGATCGTCGTCCATACTGCAGACGACAAGGCCGTTGTTACCACTATCAGCATCTAGAGCGAACACCTGGGCGATAAACTTGCCCACCGGTTCATTCTCAGAGACTTCAGTGCCCATGGGAGGCAAGTTGATGCTGATCTGTGGTGAGTTATCGTTCTTGTCGACAACATGGAGGTTCACGTTGGTGCGAGCAGAAAACTGCGGGGTGCCATGGTCAACGGCCTCCACGATGAACTGAAATAGTTTGTCCTCCTCATAGTCAATGCTTCCTTGGGCAGTTATCTCCCCTGTGTGTTCATCTATGGTGAACTTTTGTCGGATCTTACTGGGCACCCGAGAACTAAACTGGTACGAAATGTCAGCATTTGTACCCTCATCTTTGTCAGTGGCGTGAACTTTCATGATTGGAACTTTGAGTGCCACATTCTCAAGTACGGATGTGTTGTAGGAGGAATGGTCAAACTCGGGCTGGTTGTCGTTGATGTCCGAGACGTTGATGTTAATCAACATGGAGCCTAATCTTTGGGGCGAGCCTCCATCAGTGGCAACAACGGTCACCTGATAGAAGTGCCTGACCTCACGGTCAAGCACGCCCTTTGCAACTATCCCCAGATAGGATGACCCATCTCCGTTCTTGTGAACGGATAAAGCGAAGGTATCTGTCGGATCTTTAAAGGTGTATTGTTGAACAGAGTTGACCCCCGTGTCCCTGTCCACAGCGCCACTAGCGGGCAGCTCCTCGCTAGGGTTACTGGACTCGGCGATGCTCAAACTGACCGTATCCTCGGGGAATTTCGGTGAGTTGTCATTAATGTCTAAAATCTCTACATCCACAGTTATCACTTTGAAAAGATCAAAATCTCCTGAACTCAATTTTGTGTACACAATGACATCTGCGGAAAGTTTACATACGGGCAAAGAGGCGCAAACATTTTCTCGGTCGATCTTGGTAGCAGCCGTCAGTGTGCCGATTTTCTCATCGATGTAAAAATATTTGGAATCCGGGGCGCTGAATTTCAACAAGGAAAACTGGCTTTCCGATAAGAGGGATGCCAATTTACTGGCCACCCCAACGTTGCCGATGTAAGTTCCCGGAGCCTGCTCTTCGCGGAACTCAAACTGCACGGCAGACAGGACCTGCGCGGCTACGTTCTGAGCACCAGCGAGACGGAGACAACCTACAACAACTAGCAAACAGATTCTGCTCAGGGGAAAACGTTGAAAATCTTCAGCCATTTTCAGCCAGTTCAAGAAAAAATTGTGTCTTCGTTCTTGAAGGATTCTGTTCGTGTCAACTGGTTCTGCTTTCCCCTGATCTTGTTTGACAGAATGACTGAAAATAATGTGGCATCTCAGAGGATTTTATTACCTTTATTTATTCAATGTGTGCTCACGTTTTTTACGAATAATTCACCAAGGACTTTCTAGGGGCAAGGAAGAGGATTTCTCTAGGCAATTTTATAAATTTCAACATAGCTTGACCTATTTCTCGTGTGTGACCTATATTTTATCTCGAATATTGAAAGATGATTTATAATTATTTTGTTTCGCAAAATAATAACTATTAACCCCACACCGCTTCTGCTTTTTAATTTCACAATTTTCTAAAAATATTCTCGGTTCTTGGAACTTTTGAATATCTCGCCAAGATTCATGTTAGGTGCAATAGAGAAAGTAAAATTATGTTTTTCCAGTTTCCAGCAATTTAAAGTAAAAAGAGAAAAACTTGTTGATGCGTTGTGAGTCCTGGCTAATGGTTCTGAGTTCCTTAAATGGAAACCGTAGAGCCCCTTTGACCTCCAAGTTGTTCTGAAAGGTGGGGGATCTCCGCGATGAGAGAGCGGTTCAATGGGTATTCAAAACGAACTGTCAGTCTGCTTGGATTTAATTGATCCGTTGTCTGGGCAGAATATGCTGTCTGAAATGTAAATACACAAGTCATTTTACATACAGCAACCCAACACATACAATCTGATTGGTGCAAAATTCGCTTCAAAAAGCAACAACAACAACAACAACATATACACATTTTAGGGGCGCAGAGACATAAAACCGTTATTTAAAACAGGAATAGATTAAACATTTATGATCATGCAGGATTCACAGACTGCTTAAAATGAAGAAGTGTTCCATTATGAGATTCTAGCTAGTATTTGTGTCAAGGATTGTGGGTATTTAGGAATATACGTTGATTAGCTAGTCAAGGGATTGTGGGTATTTAGGAATATACGTTGATTGGCTAGTCAAGGGATTGTGGGTATTTAGGAACATACGTTGATTGGCTAGTCAAGGGATTGTGGGTATTTAGGAACATACGTTGATTGGCTAGTCAAGGGATTGTGGGTATTTAGGAACATACGTTGATTGGCTAGTCAAGGGATTGTTGGTATTTAGGAACATACGTTGATAGACTAGTCAAGTGATTGTGGGTATTTAGGAACATACGTTGATAGACTAGTCAAGTGATTGTTGGTATTTAGGAACATACGTTGATTGGCTAGTCAAGTGATTGTTGGTATTTGGGAACATACGTTGATAGACTAGTCAAGTGATTGTTGGTATTTAGGAACATACGTTGATAGTCTAGTCAAGTGATTGTGGGTATTTGGGAACATACGTTGATAAACTAGTCAAGGGATTGTGGGTATTTAGGAACATACGTTGAAAGACTAGTCAAGTGATTGTTGGTATTTGGGAACATACGTTGATAGACTAGTCAAGGGATTGTTGGTATTTGGGAACATACGTTGATAGACTAGTCAAGTGATTGTTGGTATTTAGGAACATACGTTGATAGACTAGTCAAGTGATTGTTGGTATTTGGGAACATACGTTGATTAACATACAAAGTGTGGTGACACTTGACAAACAATATATATATATATATATATATATATATATAGATTACATATACACACACATACACATGTGTGTGTGAAAGCATATTTTAAAATATAAAACATTGATTTCATCATGTTTAAAAATGAAAATGTATATTAAGAGATAGAACGTACAATCTCCAGGAAGCTTTTTTTTTTTTTTACTTCTTCTTCTGCTTCCTTTACTTCTTCGCGTTCATAGGCTGTAAACTCTGACGGAAAGTTCCTGTTGTTTGTTCAGCCCGACATTTTAGTCTTGTTCCAGACCTTGAGTTTTAACGTGCACATCCGTTTTACAGATCTGGCTTATTTTTATGCATACTCTGTGTTCCTTACCTCACAGACATATTTACTCCGGCTTCAAACGATGCCCGCAACTAGTCAGCTCCTACGACATGCTACGAGGCAATGGGTCTATACATTTTGTCACCATGATGGGACCCCGGAACCTACAAGGTGACTAGAAGATTATAGTTACGCTTTCCTCACGGTTACGTATCCAGTTCGGTTCACTTATGTTACATTAAACCTTATCCTTGCCCCCCCCCCCCCTTCCCTCCTCCCCCGACTGGGTGAGACTGACACAGCCCCTGCGACGTCAGGAGTCGGTTGCCGGATGGCAGTCCAGAGAACAGATCCGAGATACCTTGTTCCATCTTTGATTGGTGGGTTTATACAAGGGATCAACATCATGGCACAAGGGTAGTAACCCATAAGTGCTCCGTTCTACTTCAAACCCAAGCCTGGGTCCAAAGAATCTCAGCACAGTGCACGAACACCGTAGCATCGGCGAGGATTCTGAAATACTTTGAGTAGATTTTTAAACTCCAAGTTTTGCCTGGGCAATGCTGTTAGGCTAACTAGGTCATCCATAACGGTTATGCAAATTCACTCAAGCAGTACACCGTTTGTACTAACCGAATGACAGAATTACCATATTGTTAAAACGTTCGGTTCTACCCACTACACTACCGCAGCTGCCATATGCCGGTAATGATTTTGTTATACATTAATTAATTATTCAGTAATAATATTAATTATTAATCAGATTGCCTATAAGGCCTTTTACAATAGAACATCGGGAAGAAAGGCCAGAGGAAGACCCAGGAAAAAATGGATAGATGGAGTAGCTGAATACGGCCAGGAGATCCAGAAAACTATCACTCAAATCACACGAGAGGCACAAAACAAATATTTTAAACCACGACACTGGGCTGCAACCCGGTAAAAGTGAAGAAGACAATAGATAGATAGAATATTAATTGAAAGAAGCATTAATTAACGCACGAATTTTAAAGAATTAACCATCATTATCAAAATACACATATTGTCTTTCATATTTAGTCTCGGCGTCTGTAAAATCCACACGTAACACTGCAGTTATCCCCCTGTGACGATGAAAAGATGTTGCACCCAATCCTGAAATCCAGCCTTAACTAGGATCAGGAAGTGTCCTTGTAGTGCCTGACGTAAGTCACGTGGCGAATTCCCGCCATAATACAAATATTTTCTTAAGTCTCTCCGCTGCCACGTGAGGGCCTGTGTTTTGAACATGTCCAGATAGCATTTTCAAACTGATTAATTCATTAAGCCTCTTGGTAGTGGGGTAGCGCACGTGACCAGTAGGGATGGCGTCAGGCGTTTCGTTTTCTGGGGCAAATGAAGGCAGTAGGAGGTGATGCACCTTTGTTTACAGAATATATCAGCAGTCAAGAGGTAGCACAAGGTAAACAAACTAGAGTAGGAGGGTGAGAACGAAGAGCAAGAAACAGAAACAGCAGCAGCTGCAAAAGCAGGAGGAGGAGCGAGAACGGAGAAGGAAAAAAGAACCTTTTTGGCTACTATATTTCCCCGCCCCCCCCCCCCCCCCCCCCTCCTCCCCCTCGAAGGAAGTGTCTTTGAAGGATAAATTATGTATCTTATTATTCTGTTCCACTGCTTATGTGGTAACGAAAGGAGTTGTATGTATTTTCCTGTCTTCTAACATTTACCTAGCTTATGTTGATGGTATATGGTGTCTCTTTTACTTCCTCCATCCTCATCTCTTTCTTCGTCGCCTTCTTATCCGGAAGCCAACTGTCATTTACTAAGCCCTAGCTGCTGGCTGATTTTGTTCTGTTCTGAGCAGATGAACAAACCATTTAATCCTTGAATTAAAGCTTTAAAAAAGTCAACGACACTTGTCCCCACCCTCAGATGTATAGTGCACATAGGGCTAGACCAGTAGTTTAATAAATGAATCGGCGCTCGGTGTTTCGTGTGGTCAAAATCACGCAGAATACTTTATTTATTCTATGAAATCATTAACTGTCACTGTACCTTACCACACTTCTTAGTTCTTCATTACTTATCAATAATAGGGGGTGCCTGGTTGACCATGTTCTTAGTACACTTGTATCCATGGCGAGGCGCACACGCCGTCTGGAGGTGACGGGTTCAATTCTCGGCACGGTAACTTTAGCTTTCGATTGTTAGTTGTCTAGTGTGTTCTTCTGTCTTTCTCTTCTTTCTATGAGTATCGATCAATACACTTTCTGTAACTTGATTGATTCATTACTGATATGGCTTATATCTTCATTTAACGCCAGCCATTTCAGAGACGACAGTGGCAGAACCAACCGGAGGTTTTGAGCGCTGACCAAGGCTACAAGAGGATGTGTTAGTTGTCGTCCTCTATAGCTCTTTCCTTGCAGATCATTCGGGAACAAAGAAATAGGCTTAGTTGTAGCGTTCAAGTGTCTTGTAGCAAGCAGGATGTTTTGAAACAGTTACCGTGCGTCATAGAAACGTTGTCCCCTCGTAAATCATTGACTTCAGTGACATGTCACACATATGTCTATGTTCTGTCTATGTTGTGTCTAAGATGTGTCTGTTGTGTACGTGATGAAAGTCAGCCACAGGGTCTGTCATTACGTTTGCTACTTTGTCTGTCACGCATCTGCCTGTCATTTCATGTATCCGTCCGTATGTGATATCAATCAATCCATACACGCATAGATCCATCCAACTACTTATGCACTTGTCTGTCAACCTACCCACAAACTTATCTATCATTATATCTGTCTATCTGTCTATCTGTCTGATCTATCTGATCTATCTGATCTATCTGATCTATCTGATCTATCTGATCTATCTGATCTATCTATCTATCTTATCTATCTATCTATCTATCTATCTATCTATCTATCTATCTATCTATCTATCTATCTATCTATCTATCTATCTATCTATCTATCTATCTATCTATCTATCTATCTATCTATCTATCTATCTATCTATCTATCTATCTATCTATCTATCTATCTATCTATCTATCTATCTATCTATCTATCTATCTATCTATCTATCTATCTATCT